CTTCTCTTGTAGCGACATGGCGCTTCCTCATTGACCTCAGGGAACTCCTCCATCTTCTTGCCTGCCATCGTCATTAACGTTTCCATTGCGAGAGACTTCACCTTGTTTATTCTCGATCCTCTGGAAGGGCTCAATATCATACTGAGTGACCAAGGTCACCGAGCGGCCAGTCCGACCAGCCCGTGCAGTACGCCCCACTCGGTGGATATACTCCTGCGACAGAAACTACCGTGGACTCGCCCGAACAGGCAGTACCTCAGGGTTCTTGGGCACGTCGAAGTTGATGACGACATCTACACTAGGAATGTCCAAGCCTCTCGCTGCTACATCTGTTGCTACGAGGATCGATCGCGTGCCTGCAGTGAATTCATCACGACGATATAACAGTAAGATTCCTTACCAGCCCGGAACTGGTTGAGGGCTCCAAGGCGATGAGTCTGCGTCATCTTGCCATGTAGGCATACACAGTTGTGGCCGAGGTGCCTCAGAGTAGTGGCCATCCGCTGGGCATTAAGACAGGTGTCAACGAAGATCATCACAGTACCTGACCGTAAGATAGAGACTATGGTGGACCTGAGTGCGGGAGCGTACTGAGTTTGAAGTGAGCTAGGAGGGCCGCCAAATAGGCATGCTTATGCTTGTGGGGCACGAACATGTAGTTTTGAACCAAACCTTTGGCCACGTCGAACCTGGAAGAGACATTTCCACGACAGTTCAGGTTGGAGTCTGGATGCTACTTCCGTGCAACTTCGCACTTGACAGGCCTGGTAAGAGACGCCCGTTGTAGTTGTGAAACTTTATCTGACCGACAGAGAGCCATGAGGCCCTTCCCATTGCGAAAGGGCGGTCGTACTGGTCATAGTCGCGGAAAAGAGGAAGGTTTGTCGATCTCGAGGACACGACTGGACGATCTTATTGAGGGCGTCCTCGAAGTCCATACCTGGTGCAGATCTCACTCGAAGCTGGTGGGGATGTCAATTGCAATTCGAGAAGACTTCGCGCGAGTGTGGTATGATCCCTACTACCCAGGAGCCTATCAGCTTCGTCCATGACCAAGAACTTGATAGTTTTCAAGTGGAAGCCCTTGGTGTTCTCTAGATGGTCAACTAGGCGACCAGGTGATGCCACTATAATATGAGGCTTCTTAGAGAGGGACATAGCCTTATACAAGGGAAATACTAATGACCTTCAGCCCAATGGTCCTCACCTGTGTGACCATGTCGAGACCACCAACGATGGTGGCAGTAGTGAGGTTAATGCTGGCACCAAGACCTTCGAACTGCTGGCCAGTCTAAGCACTTACACTTAGTCCGGCTGGTATTGGAAGCCTTTTACCTGCACGCAGAGCTCTCGAGTGGGGGCGAGTACGCAGGCCCAGGTTAGTTTCCGATGAGGAGCCGCATCGAG